TAACCATACTCAAGATTTGTAACAAGAAATTTCTGGAGGAATTTACTGGGGAAATTTTTGGGCTTCTACCTAATAATACTTGTGTCCAGTCCCTTACCTTCCTCTTCAGGCAACTACAGAACTTTCTCTCATTAAAAATTAGTTTTGCCTTTTCTAGAATGTTCTATAAATGGAATCATATAGCAGTGTACTCTTTGGTGTCTGGCATCTTCTGCTCTGCTTACTATAAAGCTGGTACTCCTGAACTGGAAATCGTACCAGCAAGAAAGGGGCCGATGGGTTATCAGAGGCAGGGTGAGGGGTATCTGTCCACCAGCATCTCCACCTCCAGGCTGTCAGACACCAGATTTCATAAGCAGAAGCTGTGTGACATGGAATCAGTCTCTAACTGAAACGATGTTCTCGCAGGTGTTATCTTTACACACTGTCATTTCCCACCAAATTCAAACAGGACTATTGCTTCCTTTAATTATAAAAGTTACACTTATAAGAAGAAAAAAATGTGGATATAAAAGAAACATTATTATATAAAAATTATCTATAGTCCAACCAATAAAAAATAATGATCACTGTGGGAGCCAGCCAGCAACATGGTGGTTAAAGCAGCTGGATCCACATAGCCCACAGTGTGGCTTGAGTCCCATACCCAGTGGTTTGAAAGACATGCTGGACATATGTGTGTGTCCACAATCCTGAGAGGAGAACAGAGGGCAAGGGATTGCAGCATGGCCATTTCCCTGGGGGAAGCTTCTTGCTTTCTCACTTTCTCTCTCTCCTAACAAGCACATGTGCCCTATAACAGACTTCTAAAAAATCACCACTGTGTCGGGGCCAGCAGGTGGCCTGGTGGTTAAATGCACTGGACTCCCACATGGCCAACCACAGTTCAAGTCCCGGACCTGGTGGCTTGGTTTCTTACTTTCCCTTTCTCTCTTTCTCTCTCTCTGATTAAACTGGAAAACAATAATAATTAATAAAGTTAAATTTAAAAAAATAAAATAAAAAATCACCTTTGTTAACACTACATATCTTTTTTAACTTCTGAACCAGCTAGTCTTAATTTTTTGTTGTTCATTTGCATTTAGGTAAGAACAGGGTCTTACTCATTTCCTACTGTGTATATCTATTTTTTTCACTTAAAACAGCGTGAAGATTTTTCTGTCTCAGTGAATATAAATCTACTTCATAATTTCAAAGGACATATATTAGGTTGTCAGGAAAGTCATGACATATTTTTCTATGCAAAAAGGCATCATGACTTTCCCAACAACCCAAAAGATTACCACAATTAATTTAAAACATTCCAATGTAAAGGACATTTAGACTTTCCCAATGTTTTGCTGTATGAGAGAATTTCTTTCATTTTCTTTCTTTTTAGAGATTTTTGCTATAGGGCATGCACACTCGCCAGAGAGACAGAGAGACAAAAGGCGAGAAATCATCCCCCGGGGGGATGGCCACACTGCAATCCCTTCTCCTCTCAGGATTTTGGGCACGCATGCATATGCACCCAGCCTGAGTTTTAAGTCACTGAGTCCAAGACGTGAACTGTGGTCAACTATGTGGGAGTCCAGAAATATAACCATTACACTATCTGCTGGTCCCAAGAGAATTTCTTAATAGTGTTAGAAGGACTACAAGCCCACCAAGACACTTATTCCTCTTTTTGGTTTACTTTTTTAAAAATTATTTTTAAAGAATTATTTAACTTTATTTATTTATTTATTTAAATTTGGCCAGAGAGGGACAGAAAGGGGAAGTAAGAAAGCAAGCTGCCAGGTCTAGGACTCGAACTGTGGTTGGCAATGTGGAAATCCAGCGCCCTTAATCACCACACCATCTCCTGGCCACTTTAAAAGTTTTTTAAAGAGTTTTGCCTTTAAGTCTGTGTGTTTGCCAGAGAGAGAGAGAGAAACAGAGAAACTGAGAGGGAAAGTAAGAAATCACCGCCCCACCACCTAGGAATGGCCACATCACAACCCCTTCTCCATTGTCCTCCTGGGATCTTGGGCACTCACGCACATGCACCCAGTGTGGATTTCAAACCATGGTCAGCCATGTGGGAGTCCGGCAATGTAACTGCTGTGCCATCTTTTGCCTCCCCTCTTTTGGGCTGGGGAGATAGCCAGTGGAATCCTTCAAAGTAAAGGCCCAGAGGCTCCCCAGGACCTCCTGTACACAGACGAGCCCTCCCCACCCTTTGAGGGATCTGGTTCTGTGTCAGCACCTCCTCTCCCCACCAAGAGCCAGTAGTTCATCTTAGGCCTTTCCTCCCTGTGAGCCGGGTGAATCATTCAGATCTGTTAATGAGTTTATACTCTTTTTTTTTTTAATTGCCTGAGGGCACAATGCACATGACAGAGTGGCAGAGGGAGAGGGAGAAAGACCCTGCAATGGGGCACGGCCACACCACAATCCCTTCTCTGTTTTCCCTCAGGGTTTTGGGCACACATGCACTCGTGCCCAACATGTTTTTCGAACCATCAGGTCTAGAACTCGCAGAGAGCAGTTAGCCATGTGCCCAACACTTTTTTTTTTTTTTGAAGAGGTTTTTGTCATAGGGTGCATATGCTGGCCAGAGAGAGAAAGACAGAGAGTGAGAGGGAAAGTGAGAAATCAAACCCCAGGGGGCATGGCCAGGCCACAATCCCTTCTCCTCCATTCTCTGCCTGGGATCTTGGACATGCACACAAGCCCGCTGTGAGTTTGAAACCACCAGGTCTGGGACTCAAGCCGGAGTCATCCATGTGGGAGTTCAGTGCCATAACTGCTATGCCATTTGCTGGTTCCAAGAGCCTAGCACTTTAACTATCATGCACCAGCTGCCCTGGCTGTCTCCTACTTTTGTAAAGCTGTTTTCACAGATAAGGAAAAGAGCACAAAAGATTTACTCTGAGACAGGCGGGCCTAAAAATCCTCAGGTGACTTTTATCTGGGCATGCACTTCCTGCTTGAGACAAGGCCCCGGTGTCTCATGCCCGTCCCTAACGCAGCTCCGTGTTCTGTACTTACACAGGCTTCTGCACCAGAGCTCTGTACAAGCCTCCATTTGTAGCTTCCAACTTCTGAGCCATCCTTTCACTGCCTCATTTAGAAACCCAACCTCCAGGCTCAAAGCCAAACAGGTAGAAGCAATCAAGCCTCAATCAAAGTGTGTTTAGGTCAGAAGTCTCTAGCCCTGGCGTGTCTTCTTGGACAGACAGAAAAAATATCTCAGACTGGCCTGTCGCCTAGTGGTTAAGGGAGTCGGATTCCATGTGGCCAACTGAGGTTCAAATCCTGACTCTGGCGGCTTGAAAACACATGGGCACGTGTGTGTGTGTGTGTGTGTGTGTGTGCCCCAAATCCTGACAGAATGGAGGCAAAGGACTGCACTGTGACCCTGCCCCACTAGGAGGTACCTCCTGCCTCTCTCTAGCTGCTGAGTGAGTGCACATGCCTTCTGGCAACACTCTCGCCCTCTCTCAATACAGATATCTAACCTGGTAATTAACCTCTCGCTTATTCCCATTATTCGTATCATCAAGAAAAGAAGAAAGGGGACCAGCTGGACTCCCATGTAGTAGACCGAGGTTTGAGTCCCGGATCCAGAGGCTTAAACTCACGCCAGGCGCGTGTGCGTGCGTGCCCAAGATCCCGAGAGGAGAAGGAATTGCAGCGTGGCCATCCCCCCTGGGGGGTGATTTCTCGCTTTCTGTCTCTCTTTCTCTGTCTTTCTGGTGACCGCACGTGCCCTATAGCAAACACCTCTCCAAAAAGAAGAAAAGAAGAAAGGACAGGCAAGTGAACCATTTGTAGCCATGGAGTCAGGCTCTAGGTTGTCTTTTTTTTTTTTTTAATGATTTATTTAATTTTATTTGTTATTGCTTATTTTTAATTTGATCAGAGAGAGAGAGAGAGAGAAAGGGAAAGTGAGAAAGCAAACTGCCAAGTCCCAGGCTCAAGCCACAGTCAGCCATGTGGAAGTCCAGCATCCCAACCACCATGCCACCTGCCAGACCCTAGGCTCTCAGTTTTAATTCCAGCTCTTTCACTTAACAGCTGTGTGACTTTGAGAACCTTACTGTCCTTCTCTGAACCTCAGGAGCTGTTGGGAGAATTAAAGGCAACAAGGCCGCACCAACATGTGAACTAGAGTAACAGTTCTTGTCTCTGGATCGCCTGGAGCCTTTCGCCTTAGTTTCTTATAGTCCTATAATCATGTACATCTTTGTAATCATCCTACAACACATTTTCAGGTGCAAGCCCATAACTTCGCCCCCTTAGGCTGGGATGTTTTCTCTTAGTCACACACAGCCGAGGAAAACTTCTCACCTAATCATGTGAACCACAGGGCTCGCCTGACAAACCAGATTTTCTTCATTGTCAGCAAAACCATGACCAGTGCTAGAAGGAGAGCCTTGGGAAAGCATGTTTGGAGCTGACGCATGATAATGATCTCAGTGTTTTGCAGACGGTGAGCCCTAGTGTGGCTTGTTTTTAACGAAAGAGAATAGAAAACATCAGAGTACTTGGTGTGTAAGAGGGTAAGTACAGTTTCATGACATTTTTGTGTGCCTGTGAACTCGGTCTGAATGTACACTATATGTCTTACTGTGAAGCTTAGGCAATAAAGTATAGATGCCACTGATGGAGGGTGTGGGCACTGGGCTTCCAAGGAGACCAGCTGCTCCTGCCCAGGTGGCTTGAGCTGCAATCGACTGCCCACTCCAGGTGATTCTCCCTCCGAGCTGGGAGCTCACAGCCGGCTCTCCCTGCAGCCCAGCACAGTTCTACCTGCCTACGTCCCGGGGCACATCTGAGGAGCAAAGGAGATCTAGCAGCCGTTTCAGACTTTCCTACCTTTTTTCATAAAACAAGAATTTCACGCAGGTACGGAAACAAAACTACTAGGAACTGCAAAGGAAAATCTACTTGGATTTTTGCTGCACCAGCTCAGACCACCACTTCTAGAACCACCAGGGACAGGAAGGGATCCAACCGTCTCCAAAATGGCTCACCTCTTCCGGAGCACAAGTATCTGCATTTATGGCACTCCAGGAGTCCTTCAGTCTCTGACTGGTAATATTCCACTTCCTCTCGTCCAGGCCTGGGGTTTGAGGGCAGGTATCTCCCTGAAGGGAGTTCACTGAAACCAAAAATCATACACGGCCATTAGGGTGCCTGTAATTCAATAACTTGATCAGGATTAGAATCCTTTTTTTTTCTTTAAGTTTTTTTTTTTTTTTCTGAATTGCCAGTGAGATATGCATTCACCAGAAGGAAAGAGAGAGAGAAAGCACCCTCCCCATGGGGTGTGGTAATGACACATTTTCTTCTCCATTGCTCCATCCTGTCAGGATTATAGACAGAGAAGCACATGCCTATGTGGTTTATTAAGCTGCTGGGACTGGGACTTGAACCATGGTTGGCCATGTGGGACCAGCTCCGTGTGCACCTTTACCAGTGCTACAGGGCTGACCCAGGATTACAATTCTTTTTTTTTTTTTTAAGGGTTAGAAAGCACCCGTGGGTCTCAAGTCCCAGCACAGGGATTATGCAGATGAAAATTCCAGACTGAGGAACCAAGATTAAAATTCTTCACTCCTCCTCATGTAGAGCCTAGAGTCCCAACACTGAAAAATGTATAGAAGCAGAAACCAAATTTGCCATCGTGTTTCGTATTCCAGTGAATTCTCTGGTTTAGTGGCCTCGGAGAAAATCCAAGACCTTGGCCCGACTACACTAACCACGTGACAGGCCCTGTAATCCCTTGCATGTGAGCACCTCTGAGGCCGGTTCGTCTGCCTGGGGGATCTAACTGGGCAGCCCGGAGCCGCCTGCTTTGTGAGCTGAAGTTCTCAGTTCCTGAAGCACTGCAAAACCAGTTTGCGTTCGTGCATTTTTCTTCAGTCACTAACATAAAGAAGACTGCAGTGACACGGCTAAATTCCCAGGCCCCTCAGTTCTTTAGAGATGGACAAAATGACTGTTCTCATTACTTTCAACATTGTCTTGAACTTGGCAGAGCTCATGTTGACAAATAAAATTTGTCTATATTATATATTTGGCTATAGGGCACATGCACTTGCCAGAGAAAGAGAGAGTCATCCTTCAGGGAGGACAGCCATGCTGTGATCCTTGCTCCTCCATTCTCCTTTCAGGATTTTTGGGCACACATGCACACACCCTGGGCGTTTTTTAAGCTACCAGTTCTGGAACGCCAACCATGCAGTTGGCCATGTGAGATCCAGTCACTTTAACCACCATGCCACCAGCTGGCCTGAAATTTATGTGTTTACAGTTTAATTCATTTTTTTCCCCATGAACTCCCACCCTCATAAATTGTTCTCTGGCTTCAAATCACCAAGCAGCTATGAACAAAGAGGCAATAAAACAAAAATATTCCCATCACTCACTTTGGGTAGAGATGGGGTGGGGAACTGGAACACTAGTTTCTGAGAAAAACTACAAATGCAGCGCTTCATTCTCCCAGGCCCTGCAGTTCCTTGGTACGGCTGTGGTGAGGCAAACAGTAGCAAGTGACTGTATCTGGCACAGCCTTTGTCATGCTAGTTGGTTTTAGATAACGTAACATAAACTCAGGATAGTACCTTTCCCAGTGTGTGGACACAACAGGGAGACAGGCTGGGCCTGGCCTTCCAGTCCTACAGCAGGGGGAGGCTGACTCCTTAGAGAAGAGGCCAGCATGGTCTGGCCGGACAGCCCAGCAACAGGCACTGTGCAGAGGAAGCTGGATCCCACGTGGCCGACCAGGGTTTGAGTTGCACCCCAGTTGGCTTCATGCCAGGTCTGTGTGTCAGGATTCTAACAGGATCGAGAATCAGAGGGAAAAGGATTGTGGCATGCCTAGGTGCCACTGGGCAGATCCTCTTTCTCTCTTTCTATCTTAAGTGTGCCCAGACACCCTCTATCGATTAAAAAACATAACTAAACCCCAGAAGCAGTCACCACCCCAGGACCTGTCTGTCTCCTTGCGGGAGCTGGAGGGTCCATTACGATTCCATTGAGTCACAGTCTGCAGTGCTGGACACATCATTTGGGCATTAGATGATGTCTGTGGAGCTGGCTGAGATGTTAAATGGAAAGACAACCAGCTTCCTAGAAGGGAGGTGTGGGAACCAGGTTCCCTCTGGTCCTCCCTTACACCCCGGACTCCTGGCTCACCTAGTCGTCCAGAACATCAGGATGCTTCCTCCTCACAAGGGCCTGTGGGAATTCGCTGCTCCACCAAGCAGGGATGGCCAGGGTTGTTCATTCAGGAAGGTAAGTCTGGGGGTGGGGGTGGTTTGAATGCCGCTGCCTAGCAAGACCTCACCGAGACGAGGGGGAAGCCAATCCACGCCAGCCAGTGGGGAATTGCAGGGTGACTTAGGCTCTGGTTAAAAGAGCAGCTTCTCTCAGCTGGCTATTTCGAAATGCATATACCCCTGGGAGGGGTAACCTGCCTCGGCCTGGAGGAGAAGGGATGTGGAACCCGAGGGGGAAGTGGGCTGAGAAAGGGCAGAAAAGCGGGGCCGGGTGGGGTCGGTTGGACCAGGCAGCTCTGATGGAAAACGCCCCGCCGGCTCGGTGCTCACTCTTTTCTAGGGAGGCAAAGCGGGGTTTTTGTTACTGGCGGCAGCCGGAGCAGCTCGCCTCCTCCGTGGTTCCAAACGACGTCCCCCGGCCTTCTCGGGCTAACACGGCTTTCTTCTGTGTGCACCGCCCAGCCGGAGTCTGTCTCCGCCGGCGCTTCCGCTCGCCTGTATCTCCTTGAAAGATTTCCCCCGATTTGGCCGCTCCCCGCGATCACCGGTTAAACTACTGGAGCGCTCTCCTTCAGGCATCCTTACTAAGTCCTGGCCACCAGGGGTCGGGACTCGGAAAGCTGCGGAAGGCGGGTTTTGGATCTCAGGGCAGGGGGTGACCGCGGGAGGGAGAGGGAGGAGCCTCAGCTGAACCCCACCTCCCTGGTCCTTCCTGTCCCGGAGACCTCGCCCCCCTCTACCTGGTCCCGGGGCTCTGCCGCTGCTGCCAGCGGTGGCTTCGGCTTTGTTAACCGGGTCTGGGTCACGAGATGAGGACACCTGAAAGTTTTCCTTAGCTCCCAGGTCACCTCGGAGGGCGCGAAACCCTTTGAACCGGGTTCTCAGGACAAGTAACCTTTTGCCGGGGAGTGGGGTGCGCCAGAGCAGCGCAGGCCTTGCCCCAGGTTCCCCGGCGCCCCGATCGCAGGGCCCGGTCCCCCCATTGTCCCACCTCACCTTTCCCGGCCGCGGCGCCCGAAGTCCTCCTTCCTCTCCGGCGGCGGCTCCGGGGTTTCCCAAGGCGCGGGCCAGGGGGGCGGGGCTGCGTCCCAGGTCGGCTCCAGGGGTCGGTCCCGCGTCCGGCTTTGACGGGAGTTTCACGATGCCCCGCGTCCCTGTGTCTGTCCTGGCGGGGGTCTCGGCTCCTTCCTCTGTCCCGGTCCCCTCGCTGGTCCCCGTCCCTCCGCTCGTCCCGGGTTCTCTCCCTCCGCCGGTCCCCGGCTCTGTCTC